ATAGTTTTTATATAGTATTTGTTCTTTGTCTAGTTTATTAATGGTATTCTTTTTAATTGTACTGATGAATTCGTCTAATGGTGTGATGTGTGTTATATTAGGAAGGGTTTTATTAGTTTCTGTTATTGTTTCTATGGTCGCTCTTTTCTTTTAGAATGAGCTTGATTCTTCTTGTGGATCAAACTCTCTTCTGATATACCTTGATTGAACTGGTGCTTTTTAGGAGCGATTATTTCATCACCTTCCTCTTACACTATTCTGGTTATCTGTTTTCTCCTCAATTATATTTATTCTAGTATTTAATCGCTTGAGATTATTCAGGATCTGGCATAGGGGATCTTGATCACTTTCATTTTCCGAATAAGGGCTTTGTGACCTATTATGCAAAATTCTTCTTCTGTTACAGTGATTGATTGGCTCTCTATTACTACCGGTAGCGAAGCATCTAAAAGTGTTTGATATTCTAACCATGTATTTGCTACCTTGGAAGTTGTGTCTTTTTCCTTTTACCTTTTTTTCCAGATCTGTTCTCTTCTTAGAGTCCCTTTCAGTTACTGAATCATCCTCAGATGTTGTAGGCCAGTTTGTTCTGTTGTTGCTTCTAATGTCACTTTGACCTAATTGTTTTGAGCGCAGTTTAATATGTATTGTTTCAGTGTAAACTTTCTCTTTATTATAATTACTACTCTCTGTGTTGGTCACTTCTTTGTTATGCACTGTATCCTTCCTAAAGTGCTCTTTAGCGCTCCAGCTGAGTTTGTGACCGTATATAGATATATATTATCTCAGGGCCTTATACAAATCTTCTGCTACTGCGAAATAGACTACTGCATATCCTCTTCTTTTTAAAGTGAAAGGATTTTTTGGTATGTAATATGCTTTGACTCCTGCATACTACATTGCTCTTGCTATAAGACTTGTGAAAGTATTGTGTATACCATACAGTCGTAAGGATTGACTGTTACAGTTTTTGAGAATGGCATCGACTTCATGGTCATCTGGTTTATATTGAGTGAAAATTGCCTGAAGGTATTTACTTTGACATGAATAAATTATCTATCCTCCAAGTTTTGCTAGTTTGGGATGAATTCTATTTTGATTCTTCTTTGAGAGTGAGAGTGGTTGTAAATATAGATACTCAACACCTTTCCATATTTTTGTAAGACAGCCTTGATTTCTTGATGAGTATGACTATGGTTAAGATCTATCAATGTGATAACCATTGTCTTGTTTTCTTCTTCTGCTACCTTTTGTTTAAAGAATTTCTTTTCTGGTGGTAAATATGAAGTTTCTCATTTCTCTGCCTGTATAGATATCAAGGTAAAGTTTTTTCCTTCTTTCTTGTTAATCTTCTCTATATATTGTAGGACATTTTCCAATTCTTCAAAAGTGAAAGTTGTTTAGGCATTACCATTGAGAAAATCTTTTTTGAATAGTAGCATGTCTTTAGATAGACTCAAGGTACCTTGAAGATAGGCTAAATGTTCTTTTTCTGTATCTTCTGATATTCTAGAGGTAAGGATTCCAACCTTGAATTCTCCTTTCTTGGTAATATGAAATGGATTTAAACTGGATAACTTGGATCTATTTCATATATTGTAGGAGATTTGTTCTGTTATATTTTCTCTTTCAACTCTTTCCTGGATGTTTACCATTTCAAGTTCTATCTCCAACTTTTCTTTTATATCTTTATCATCCATTTCAACTTCGATGTTATTTGGGATTTCAATCTCGATTGTTGGTTGAACTTTTATATCCTTGTTTGGAATAGTGTTCTCATCTGAAGTTGAATTTCCTACTATAGAGTTTATAAACTTACCCTTGGTCTGAAAAATTTCTGGAGTATGAAGGGGGAGACTATTTATGGAAATATTTTGCTCCAAGATATGTCTGACTTTTTCTTTCAAGAAGGATACCATAAGGTCTTCTTCTCTTCCTTGACCTTGTGTCCATAAGTATAGGATATGTGTTTAAGGGCCTCTGCTTTAATGAATATAGTTGGGTCTACATTTAAAATTTTTGTGAGAATACTATTGAGTATTGAGTATTCTGTTGGTCCTGATGTCTAATTGAATTTGTCTTGTGTGATGAGAGTGTTGAAGATGATTTGGGTAGCCCATGTTTTTTTCCTCTGATCATGTTTTTCAGCTATTCTGACTATTGTATCAAGGATGTGTAGCTCACTCTTCTTAGCAATTTGCATAATTCTCTATTCCTTTGTCATATTGGTCACATGTAAAGGAGGATAAAATGCTGATTCGTTGTTTTATTTATTCTTGATTTATTTACTTGTTTATATTTAGCAAAATATATATAGTTAATTGTTTGTTATTTTGTTTAGTGTCTTGTTTACTCAGATAAGTCATTGATTCTTCCTGTTTAGTTCTATTTATTTACTGAATTTGATATTGATCTTCTTTATTATGAAAAATAGGTTGTTTATATATAGACACTTGATAAACCTTGCTTTGTTATTTTGATGCTGAATTGTTTAATGTGTATGCATTTGCATAAAATGTTTTGATGTTTAGACAGGTGTGTATGGAATCAGAATACTCTACTGTTTAGTCCTTGGGAGCCTTTAATGTCTTTCTGGGCTTTGTAAACTTTGAGTTTTTCCTGATTTATCAGTATAAACTATTGTTTGTAAAGTTCTTTCTAGTGCCTAGAAAGGTGTAAACTGACACTGGCCTGACTAGAAGCTTGGGAAGTTGATATTGGGCTCTCCTAAGCTTATTGTGAATTAGCTTATAGATGTGTTTTCCTTCTCTTGTAAAGTAAAACTATTGTAATGCAGTACTACCAAAACTTTTGTTAATCAATAGAGTGATCTCTTGGAGGAATAATTGAATATTCTAGGTTGTTAATTAAGTCTTGAATCTTTGAGGAATAAGGTGTTTTTTAGGTTGGCTTTTCTTTTCCAAGAAAATTACCAAAAAAAGAAATTTTTAAGGAAAAAGGGGATCAGCGGAAAGAGTTTATATTTATATTTATATTTTTTTTTTTATATAAGATATTTTTTAATTATAATTTTTTATTATTTTATTAAAAATATTTTTATATTTATAATTATTGAAAATAATGTTTATTGTTTTAATCTAATAATTATTATATGTTTTATTAGATTAAAATAATGTTTATTGTTTTAATCTAATAATTATTATATGTTTTATTAGATTATTAATTATTTAATTTATTTAATAAACTTTGCAATTTAATTTATTTTTTAAATTATATATTATATTTTAAATAATGTATAAATTATTTGATATATACTATATATTTGCATTTAATTTTAAGAATTCTTTTAAAAATTGTTATTAATTTTTAAGTATTATTTCATATAAATTTTAAACTCAATTTTGAAAACTAAAATTGTATTAAAAAATACAAATTATTTAATTTTTTTCTTTACAACCATACCAATTAATTATTTATTATATGATAATAATTATTTTTTTGATTTTATTTAAAATTTTTTAAAAAATTTTTGATTTTAATTATCTTATAGATTTTGAATTTAAATTTGTAATCATCTTCTTGAATTATTTTTATAAATAGTTTTTTAAAATAAAAATTAATTTGTTAGTATTAATTTAAAAATTATTAATTTTATAAAATCTATAAATTTTTTTTTTAATTATAAATTTTTAAATTATTACAATATTTTATTTTATCTTTATTGAGTATTTCAAATTGATGTTATTTTGGATCTTGTATAAAATGGATTATAAAAGATTCTTTTGACAGAGAAGATATTGGTTCGCTTTGATTAATCTCCTCTTCTAAAGTTATTGAATCTAGAAATTTTTCTTCCATCTTAATTTCTAAATTTTCTATTTAAAAAAAGTTTAGAATTAGTTTGATAAAAATTTCTAAAATCTTAATTATATATATTGCTTTTTCTAACATTATTATAGTACTTTGACCACGTGATTTATAATTTCTTTTTACTTCTTTATGATGTATAGGTTCTGTTATACTTTTATCAAGCAACCATAATTAGATCCTTTAATTGTTGATTTTATAGATGCTGGTTGACCTTTGAATAATGAATTTGGGAAAGTTTACATCACCAAGGCTTTGTTTTTGAAATTGAGAAGATGCCACTCTGTTTCCATTCCTATGGTGTGATCCCCAATCTAAGATCAGGTTAAAAAATATTCGAAGATTTTGATTTTTGATATCTTTTCTGTCGCGATCGTCGAACACGTGACCACAGCGAAAATCAATATACAGTATCTAAAATTTTAAATTTTAAAAACGCAATGAAAATTTTTAAAATATTTTTATTTTAGAGCAATGATGTTTTAACCAAATAAAAAAAAAAGATTTCGAATTTTTAATTCAACCTAATTTATAGTGCAATTGACAAAAAACGTTTGCGTGAAATGCTTTAATTAAATAATTCTTTTAAATATACGTAACATGGCACTTTAAATTAAGGGTTCTTCCTTAAAAATAGTTGTAAAATACAGCCGAAAAAAAAAAAAAAAAAAGTTCACCGTCAACAATAAAATACTGCCGATTGATTTATTTTCCGATCAAATCTGCGGCCTGTATCCACAGAACACTAGGATCCCTTGCACTCTTTTCGTCATAGAATAACCTAAAGTCGGAAGGCTTGAACTCAAATTCCAATACCGTATCATTAAGTATGCTACTATAAACTTCACTTAATGGTGCAGTTACACGCATCCTAAGTGAAAAATCTTTAGGTACTAAACTATTACTGGAATGATTTAAACCAACTTCATTTAACAACTTAAATATCGCATCAGATGTGTATACGAATCCGCCAGGGAATGAAGAATAGCTGAGCTGTTCTTGCGACAGTAAACCTCCGACGGCTATCGTTTTTATTTGCTTCTTTTCCGCTAATATCTGAGCCACATAAGAACATGCGGATCCGCAAAATCCATTTGACAAAATAATAATATTGTCACGTGTCCAATTTAGTGGTGGAGGGTTTGGCCCCTGCACCACTTTAAGAATCTCTCTCAATACGGCTTCATAATTAATAAAGAATTTTGATGAATAGTTATCTTGTATGCCCCCACGTGTAAATACGTTATTGCCAAAGAATTGTTGGGCGGAAGTAAAATTTTGCTTATTCTCAGCTGTCACATATGAATGATAATTAAATGGAGGTGTTGGAGCTAAGAGTAAGTTATCTGATGTAGTTTCAATGGCAAGTTTGTAAAGATCTGTGAGTCGTTCGTCAAATTGGAAGCCAGGTGTGATATCGGGAAACAAGAGCAAAATGATATATTCGGAGACTTCAATAGTTCCACCTCCGTTATCACTCAAATCAAGGACGACCTATTTAATTGTGAGAAATTTCGTGTCATCGATAAATATGAAAAGTAAATTTGCATGTCTTTGATTTACCTTCTCGATCTTTCTTTCTGCGAACGATCGAAATCCTTTATTTAAATTGACATACACGGTCTCAATTTGAGTTTGGCTAAGTGTCGAAATGTCAATTGTTGAAATTACAGCCACCCCGAAATCGCGTACAATGTAAAACCTAGCGATGATGGCGTCAACTATCAGTTCTCCTTCGCTCAATGATGATACGTCGATTTTACGTTTAGATCGATGGGTAGTCACAACGGACTTAGCATTATTACTAATACCATTACCATTAGACTTCACGCATAATAGTTTACGGTATGACTCAGAGTCCGTAAAGTTATTTAACACTGCGCGTGAAGCTTCAACTGTCCAACTGCGATTAAAATGTTTCAAATAATTTCCACCGCAATTGAGAGTATAAGAGATTTGTGGAGCTGATGGTAGTTGAACTCTTCTGGTGAATAGTTCCGAAAATTCGGATGCCTGAAGGACCCCTCCCCCGAGAGATAGGGACGTGAGTGCTCTGAAAGTAAAGAGAATTTCAAAGTTAAAGGAATGTTTTAAATGAGTCAAAGAAAATAAAACATCGCTCACGTGTTAAATCGAACTCCCAGATCTTTCGTCAACCCAACGTAATCAAGCGCGAATTTGGTGATGACGTCTAAAGCGGGTAGGCCGTCAATGCTAACTACTTCGCAGTCGACGTTGCTCGGATCAACAGTGTCGTCGAACACTTTGATTATCTGTTAAAACATTAAGTTACGTAACTCTTAATCACGTGGAAAATGTCAATAAGAATGTGTGCTATGCAACACGTACTTGTTTTCCGTCTCGTATGATTGAATACATCGATAATCTTTGAAAGAATGTAAATGATTCATAACAATAACTTATCAGCTGGGTGTGGGCATCCGATAAAGCATTTATAATCGAATTGACGTCAGTCTGTTCACATATTGAAAGAGGGAGATTTAAGATTTCACGCACGCTTATAAAAAGATATTCTCTCGTCCGTAGATATTTACATAAAATTCAAACTCGCTTTCATATCTTTTCTCCAATAATCGATCGAGTTCAACCGACAAATCTACGGGTCTAAATGTAAATCCGGGTTTCGGTTCTTCCTTTGCTTCATCGAAGAACGCGTAAAAGGAACTGAGGAATCCCCGCAATGTCTCAATTGTCTTTATCAGGAAAATGGAAGGTGAAATTTAGTAATAAAAAAAAAAAAAAAAAATTAACCGCGACCCAAAATTTTTTTAAATAAATGAAAGCAACCAACCTCGTTTGCGACCTTCGAATCATACGGGAATGATCGGTAACAAGCGCCAATCTCTTCCCAGGTAGTAGAATCGGTAGCATTCGTCTGTAAAAACTTGTCATGAATTGCCTTACACGCATCGGTCGATTTTTTTACGCGCGAAGGAGGTATGTAATGACAATTGACGATAGAATCAATGCACGTCAGAATCACCACTACGAATACAAAGAAATGTTTCATATTGGGCGGCGCAACCATTTGCTTTTTTCCTTCTTTTCTTTAACGGTAGTGAAAGTATATATAGATATAGGTCAGCTTTGGATAGACCCAAATTTTATCGAAGGATCGAACGTTCCTATATATATATCTTTTTTTTCCTGATATTGGTTTTACGCAAGCGGGACTCATTCACCGCTATCATTTAGGAAAAAGAAAATTCCGTGTACAATGTTCAACCAAACAATTGCGTGCACAGTAAAAAAAAAAAAGAAAGAAAAAAAATTTTTTTAAATCTCATGAACACCGTAAATAAAAATAGTACTCATTTGCGCATATAGTACTATATATTAAGACTTGTCAACAAGTTGCCAATGCCGAATCTATTTTATTTTTCTAGAGAGCCCATCGTGTGGTGCCGCATGACATCGAATTAGCACAATGGTTTGTGCAAAATAATACATTTTTCGAAAAAGGGAAACTCCCGTTTTAGGGAACGAATGTATAAATGCGTACTTGTGTCCTTTGTTGGTCCAAAATCTAAAATAAACAACATCTTAACTTTTATATGTTGATTATATGTTGAGTACTCTAACATTTCTTTTTCTAATGTAGCGACTATTTCACCACATATTACCTTTGGCGTAATCACTTCCTCAACAAGACAAGAGTGTACTATTAAAGATACGTGTTCTTACAATCAATGCATGGTGGAGATTTTTAATAAAAAAAAATCTGTCCTTGATATCGAGGATTTACAGTATTTTAATATCTCGAATTCTGGTAAGGTTTTGAATGATAAAATAAATAAATAACGAATTAATGCCAAGTACTATAGACGACATAGGTTAAGATTAACTAGAAAGGATGCAATATACTGTATTTCTGGTAGATACGCTGATAGATGGCTCAACGATAATTGTCAAATTGCAATTTGCACTTCTATGAGGCAATGACGTTACTTTTCGTATTTGTGTGGTGTGTCAATTATCCAAAGTATTGTGAGGAATTTTATACACTGCATATACAGATGATGGCCAAAAAATTAATTGATACAGTGTTCAAGGACTTTTGGCTGCCAACTGTAGTTCTACGTATGCAAGTATGATCTGATCAGTTCACGAAGAAATCGATTTGGATTTTTCGATTACCATACTGCACGGAGAATCTAGTCCGGTTCAAACACAAACTATTTCGATACCTGGATCCGAATTTAATCGTAAGATTTGGCGGATCTAATTATAAAATCCGAATTTAATTATGGAATTCGGATCTAATTATGGAATCCGGATTTAGACAATTATTATTACAGTATACAGTATGTATAGCTTTAAAATTAAAAATTTTATATAATGAGAAAAGTGAAGACAAACATAAAATTAGAGATGTTAATTAATCCTTAAGGATCTGATCCCAAATGATTCTTTAATGGGATGACTTCCTAGTCTCAAATACATGCTTCAATAAAATAAATAAATAGTGATTTTTTTTTTAATAAAGATACGTTGTGTATCCTAAAAAACTGATGAAACTGAACATGTTGGTACCTCGCCCACCCATTCACTCACCCCCCCCCCATCTACCCATCTACTTCCCTGGACACCACTCAACTCATCCATTCATTTGTCCATTTATTTACTCACCCACTCACCCACTCAATCCATCCATTCACCAATCCGCCTACTCATCCAGACGAGTGAGTGAATAGGTTTGACGGGTGAGTATTAGATATCCAGGCAGGTGGACGAGTGAATAGGTGAGTGAGGTGAATAAATGCGTGGCGAGATACGAGGGTAAGTGAATTGGTTGGATGGATAAGCGAGTGTATGTGTTTGGTGGATAGGTGGGCAAGGAGTGGATGAACGGGTAAGTAAATGAGTGGGCATGCGTGAGGTGAGTAAATGCGCGTGCAGGTAAGTGAATAGGTAGACAATTAAGTGAATGTTAGTGTATGGGTTAGGTGGGCGGGTGAGTGAATGGGCGGGCGGATAAGCGAATGGGTGGTGGTGATTTTATCAAAATTACGTTGGTTTTTTATTTTAAGGGATAAGAACTTAAAACTACAACATGTCACTTTAAATAATAACAGTGTTAATGTTCTCTAGGAAATTTAAACTCAAAAGGTGACGGTTCAGCTCGTTTTTTTAAAAATCATAATGTAATTCGAATCGCTCAGATCCGAATCAAATCATCTGTTCGTTCATTCGTCTGCTCACCTAACCTATCCATTTGTTCACCCGCCCATTCACTTACTCCCCATCCATTCACTCGTCCATCTGCCCACCTATCCGCCAAACCAATACACTTACCCATCCAACCCATTCACTTACCCGCCCGCGCAATTTCTTACCTCACCCACGCATTTACCTCATCCATTCCATTTATCTACCGGCTCACCCATCCACCTGCTGCCTACCCACCAAACCTATATACACTCACTCGCCCATGCATTTACTTACCCGCCTGCCCATTCACTCAACTAGTCCACCTATTCACTCATCTGCTCATCCATCCACTCGTAAATATAATTAATTAATACTATAAATTTAATCAATATATTCAAGTAAAATTACTTTTAAAAAAATTATTTTTAAAAAAAAATTAAAAAGTAATTATTTTAATAAAAAAATAATTAAAAAGACTTCTTGATGAATAACTTCTTGATCTTTTTTCTTGACCTCTACTTGGTCAGTAATATATCAAACCAACTTCCTATTGGCTTCTTTCCAGATGTCTAGTTTTTTGAACTTGTTGCTGAAAAAAAGAACAGGTGATCAGTTGTCTCTTCATGAGTTCTGCATCTAATATAAGTAGTTGTTTTATAAACTTCTAGTTTTTTCTTCTCGAGTGTCTATAATGTAGAAAGCTTGTCATAAGTAAGATTCATCAAAAAATTTTGTTCTTGTTGTCCTTGAAGGATTTATAAAATATATGATATATATTAAACTGGCTTTAAAAGACTGTTCAGTTTATCTCAACTTTTCTTTACTCTATCAATTTTGAATTTGCCTTTAATTACTTCAATCAAGGTCAATATTTTTTTGATTCCATCCTTTAATGAACTCTTGGATATTAATGTCAATGGTCAGGCCTTTGTAGCTATAGAGAAGATTGCACACATTTCTAGTATGTACTTCCATTATATTGAATTTTCTTTTCTAATTAATTTTGCTAATGTATCTACCACATTGTTAAAATAATCTTCTTTATATATATGGACTTTTTTCAATATTAAAATAAGACTTTTTTTCTTAACCAGATTTTTAATTCTTAACAAAGTAGCCAATTAGCTATTTTAATCTATTTTCTTAATAATATAAGTAATTGTGACTATATAGCATTTCATATTTTGATAGCTACATTGCAGTCTATAAAGATAATAATATTAGTATTTTGAGGTAGGATATAGAGTGCTGTCAATATTGCTAATATTTTTATTCTTGTTACTAAAGGTGATAGCAGTTTACCTGCTAATAATTAGTTGAAAATAATATTATCTTGAATTTGAATCTAAACAAAACTCATTTGGCTCTCTGTTTCAATATCACCTGTTTCTTCTTTAAAGAATCAATTAGTGTAAAAGATAAAGTTTTTATGTATATTATTTTGATGAAATCTAAAAGCATTTGTTAGTTCTTTGATATATTTTTTTGAGTAAATGATTTGCTCTATTAATAAAATACGATAGTTTTCTATCACTACTTCTTTATATATTGTTGCTATATATAGAATGTCAGATCTGTATTATTTTAAATTATCAGATATTCAATTAGCTTGATTGTCAAAAAGCAGTAGTGATTTTTTTATCCTCATACTTTTAGACTTCTTGAGTTAAAGCAGAAGATATGTTTCTAAAGATAAGACTGTTGTTATCTATTTAGATAGATTTAAATAGTATAGAATAAAATTATCAGTATAATTATAATTGAGCTGATATGAAATGAAGATCATATTTTCTTAAGCTTTTTAATTTTTTCTATTGTATCTCTTGATAGATTGGTAATAATTCTCTAATGAATCTTTCTTTTATCCATTTTATTAAATAGTTGTTTTGTTTGAATTTTATAATTATATTATTTTAGATTTTTTAGTGAGTTTTTGAGTAAGTCCTATTTTTCTGTAACTTAAAAATCAACTTGCTTATACTATCCAGGAATATAATCTTTTCTGTTCTCAAAAAATATTTGGACTGCTTCCTATTCTCTAATTTGTTCTCATAGTTGAGTTAATTAATTGGTCTAAGAACTTTATATTATATTTCTTAAGAAATATTTTAGCTTTTTTATAGTCACATTCCTTGAAAATTGACTTAATAGGAAGTAAACCTCCTTTGATTTGAAATGATCTTTTTATCTTTAAATATAATATGTAATTTGAAGATTATTAATTAAGGCCAAAGTAAAAGCTATGATATTATCTTTTTCAGAAAAAGCAACTTCTATTAGGTGTTCCAAGATATTTCTAGACTCCCTGTATTTTAATGGATTCTGTTTAAGATAAATAATCATTACAATTTCTGGGTTTTTTAAATTAATAAACTAGTAAAAAAAGAGGATATATGACTTTCAAGTTGAATTTTTCCTATACTCATGAGACCTAATATTTTCTTGTTATAAGCTTGTTATATATCTTTTCCTCAATTGGGTATAATATTTTATCTGGAAAATTGGAACTCTATTAATTTTTTTTTTTGAAAAACAGAATAGATCATTTTATTGATGTTTTAATAGACAAGTACATTTATTCAGAGAGGTCATACTTCAGATAAACTTTAAACCTATCTATAATATGATAAAAAAATACATTGATAAGGATCCCTGCTATCTACCAGATACAATTTCAAGAGGTCAGTGTACTCGAAGTGCCACTGGTATTTCATCTTCTGGAAAAGGTAAGAAAAAAAACA